TGGATCATGACCATTTTTTAAATGTTGCTGCAATTTACGATCCGTCGGTGTTCTGAAAAAAAAAAATCCTATATAAGAATAAAATTTATGGAAGACGAAACAGTTCAGAACAGAAAATAAGGAATTCGAATATCGATGATAACGTTCTAAATAGAAGTAAGAAAATTATGAATACTCGCCATTCTAACTTTTCCAGTTCCAAAGATTGTGAAGCCCTTTACTTTTTGTATTCTACACCACTTGTGGTACAGAGAATATTAAGTATGTGCGAAGGAAGTTACACGCAGAATGACTTGCGATAGACGTTTTATGATGCCGACCGATTCATAATCATTCTCTGTCTGCCCGTCTCATGTAAATTTTTATTCAAGCTACAGATCGTAGTTTTTGACGTACTTCGATAAAATTTGTTATAGTGGCGTTCTTTGCCCTAAGGACGAACGTTGTTGAAAATTGTTCGGATCGGTCCGCATTAGCGGTCACTCCCCCATATAATGCCCTATTCCGAAAAATCGTTGAGATAAAAATTTTCAATTTTCAAAATTAGCAAAGCTATAGTATTTCGACATTTTAATTTGGTGTGAAAACTTTGAACCAGCTGGAGCATTTTTTTGAAAACCCTCTCATATAACCAATCCCACTAAAATTGAATCTTTATGTGGAAACAAGTCTAATTTTTAACATTTCATAGCAAAAATTGTCTCATGATAGCAAACTAACAAACAAATCAGCCTTAAAGAATTTGGACAATGTAGGTCTATTTTTTAGATACGTAATGCTTATATGTCAAAAAGCCCTAATTGTTAATTTCTTTGCTATAAAATTTTGTTCATCATAGTAATTTAATGTAAAAAATGAAGTGGACTTAATTTGAACACCATGGGTTTACTTGTTGGTCCCACCCCATGTAAGATTTCTCATGAGCAGTAAGCCTTTCCGAAAGAGACTTAATTTTTAATATTTTAGATGAAAATTAATTCATAGTAGCAATTGAGCGAAAGAATGAACGGCAGAGAATTTGGGTCACATAGGTATATTTTTTTGGCCCCTAACATATATAAGCGTTAGCACGAAAAGCAAGCTCTTATATATAGAGAAAATCTGATCTTCCTGTATGCGAGCTTTTATAAAAATTGTAGCTTTGCACGAAAATAATGTATACTTTTAGCGTATTATTATCAAAACGAAGAAAATAACTGTACGAGGCGAAGTGGTGAAGGTTATGTAATGGTCGGCGTTGCCCCGCTATAATATTCTTAGTTCTTTTTTCTAATCTTTCTAAGCTTTTTAACTGTTTAACGCTTATTTCCCATGGATTTTTCAAGTGCATCCATTCTCAAGCCGTAGAATTGAAACAAAAGTGAATGGAGCGCTTCTCACCTTTTTATTTCAATTGGGATTTTAACGAAATTTGACAAAGAGAGTTTGATAGTGCAAATGTACACATACATATTGCTTAAGATATTTTATATAGTTCCAAGAAGAATTATTACACGGTTCGGTAGGATAATTCATTTATATATGACTTTCTTTTCAAATGTTTTGAAAAAGTGCGCAAAGGTGCGCAATAGTCAAACAACATTAATTTAATAAAATTAAAAAACGGAATGTTTTGCGAATTCAAGTGAAAAAAAGAAAAATTACTAGCGATCAGGTGCACCCGCAAATAACAAAATATACCTAATCCTCTTTTTACACGATAGACACGCTCCCAAAAAATTCGTGCAAGGAAACATATTGGCTAAACGGAAAAATTAATAGATTAGCTCCCGACCTAAAAAAGACAACTAAAAAGTACAATTAACGATACTACAAAGGTCTTATTAGAGTTCAATTAAGAATTTATTTTGTGCTTACACATTTTAAATCTTTAAATATACTGTGAAAATAATAAACTTTAGACATAGCGGACGAGTAACACACAAAAATTGACACGAGATTAATTTAAAGAAAATTTAATTAAGAAATGTAAGAAATAATAAACTAAACAAAAAAGATATCTATATTTTATTGAGGCGCAAAACAAAGAACATCGTGTTCACGTTGGGCCTTTTCTCTGCACATCACAGTGAGGCTTCGTTTGTTGATTTGCTGAACAACAAATTATAAAAAATTATACTTTGTAAAACGAAGCTAATTGCGTAAATAGTACAGTACCTCTTTACTTTGTGCATAAGCCACGGACGCCTTTAATAGACATAATCTTACTGAGTGAAAATGAAAAAATCTTAAAAACAAATAAAAAAAATCATCAGAAAAATTCATCCATGAAGTTTATGGATTGTCGAAAATCGCGAAAATTATTTTCTTTCTAACTCGTTTTAAATTAAGTTTAAGGTAAAACAAAATGAGAACGAAAGAGAACAAGGTGTACTTCGCAATTTACAACTACGTTCGAAATAGTAGTTTCGTGGGGTTTCTACACACAAGTTTGAATCATTAACATCATACATTGGACAATTAAAATTTTATATCTATACCCACTACGCCGACTACTACTACAGCAACTACCTGTTCGTATTCGCGATCAAGGGTTATTCTCGTAAGTGATTTTCTCTTAATCGTATTTCGATTATGGCAAATATTCGGCAGTCTCAGCCACTCAGCATCAGCCCCCGAAATGATTGACATTGATCAAAAAACGAAATTCATATCTGACAGCGTCCGTAATGAAAGGAAAGTGTTCAAACTGGTTTCGCGATATATCATTAAGAAATACTCATTTCCGGCTCTCTGTGAGCTTTGTCGTAACAGTAGGAGTAACTTGGTTTTATGCGATCATTCACACCTTGAGAAGAACTCACCAGGAAGATAAGCTCGACCACTTACAAATACAAATTAAAATTCCTAGGGACATTTCCAATTGCCGTAAATTTTTATAAAGCCGCCCCGCCGTCATTTGTATCCCAGCTCTCTCGACGCTTCCCGTTCTGCTGAACGAGGGAAGGGTTATATATATTATATTTGGCACGCATGCTTAAGATAACTGAAAGATGAAGAGAGAAAGAAAAAGGATATGAATCATTGCGTGACCCGTATACAAATTTAATGCAAAGATAATAAGCGCACATGTTACTCTTTGAAGTTCAGTTTTTGGTTAGCAAAATGATACAAAATTAAATGAAAAAAAGAAAAATAGTGATATTAAGTATTAGAAAATATTGGTCTTTTCCTTAATTCTGAGAATGTTGTAAAAAGCAGTAGTAAAATAAAATCGTTTAATATTAGTTCTCTTAGTTTTTTAATATTCGTATTTTACACATATGTTTTGCTATGTAATTTGCTTACCTCTTACTCTTACTTTTTTCTATTTTTTTTATACGCTTGCTTCTATTTTTAACATTAAAAAATTGATTTTATATATCGCTTGATTAACGTAATATCTTCAATTGATTTAATAAAGCAGAAGCTATCGCAAACTCAATTGTCCAAAATTAATCAAAAATTCCAAAATTCAATTTTCTTATAAAATAATTTATTACTTCCTGTGTCACTTTAAGAATTTGTTAAAAAAATGAAGACATTTTTATTGCTGCTTTATTAGTGCTGCTGTCTCTTAACACCTCATGCAATACCGTCTCAGTCAAGTTTAGAAGATAAAGCATTTGCTCCATCGTATTGGTTTTTAAGGGTTTCTATGGTGTCCGACCTTCATTTTAAATTGAAATAAATAATTGAGGTATATCCATAACGCCTTCATCAATTTACAAATCCACGCGAGGATACTCTTCCATTTTTCTGGAGAGTATCACTTCTGGAGAGTATGCACTTTTCCGTTTTTTTCGGGATGGAACAGCAAGTGTGTTAGATTTATTATCCTGTGGTATTTTTAAACTGAAAGTCATATAAGATTCCTTATGTAAAATGCACCATCTTGCAGATATGCGGGGATCAACTGATTTCCGGAAAACCAAGCATGTAATATGTGGTAATTTTTCAAAACGTATACGCATAAAACCCAAACAATTGAAGGTGTGACGCCAGTTCTTCATTAGAACGGCGTTTCTCCCGACGTGGTCACTATCAGGCGTTATTATAATTAAGATGCCCTGTGGTCTTAAGAGTTCATAAGCCTTGCTGCAGCAATTGATGCGCTGCTCCGAACTTGGCATATATTCGAGCAATAAACTGAACACAACACATTCGTAATATATAGTCGGTAAATAGGTCACTGTATTATTTTCCAGCCCAACTGTGGGATTTTCCATTGACTTGATTTGAACATTTAGGAAATCAGTTTGTAGAACATCATCAGTAGATGGACACAAGTCAGCAACTGTCACTTCAAAATATAGTACTTTAGCAAACGGATTAAAGCAAGTACCAATATCCAAGAATTTTATCTTTTCTGGCACATTCTTCATATATCGATATTGCGAGCAATCAAATCCTGTCCAAGAATCCAAAGAAAGTTTTATAAATGACAACAAAATACATTTAATCGAAGGCACTACAAAACCCTTAAACTCAACAAACCGTCTGTCAATGGATGGCACAAATTCGCTGAAAATAAGCTCCCATTATTCACATTTTATTCCTTAAAACTTAAAAGTTTTTTTAGTTTATTCTCAGAAATTATAAACTAGTTAATTATTGGACATTCAACAGTCATTTAATTTGAATTTGGAACTGGTGTTTATCTTTTTTCTTTAAGTGGATGTGTATAAACCTCCAAGCAATTCATGTATTTCCACTCATTAGTTTTTGTACAGCACGATCGAATTTTCTAGAATAAGAATTGGAATTGGAATCCATATTACACACTGCACTAGTTACCTTGAAATTATAGGCTCTCCGGGCAAGAAAATGGGATTGCACACCACGTCAGTATAGAGTATATGTAAATTCCGAAACCTCTTTGAATTAAAATATTATTATTATTAT